CATGTAATTTATAAATACTTGTTATTATACAAATTTAGTTTTTATATAGTTTCTATGTAATTACTTATATAAATTATTTAATAAAGATATGAGCAAGGCCTCACCTTAACACTAAAATATATATATATATATATATATATAAATAAAATTTATTATTAATACAACCCATCTTTTAACATTTAACCAAACCTTAATAAACACCACTATTCTATTTTTTGCTTATATAATTAAATTTTTTTACTTCTTGTTGCTACAAAGCAACTTTTGCTAATGATTTCATAAGTTGTTGCTATTGCAACAAAAAGTTAATATTGATAAAATTATTAAAGGAGAAAGCTAATATAACCAAAGCTAAAGATTTGGCAGTTGGTTAAACAGAATTTTTTTATTAGATTTTTAGATATTTTAGCATAACGAAGATCATAAAAATAAAAAAAGAGTATGTTTAAGTATTTAATTTTATAAATATTGCTATTAATTGTGATACTTGAGCATTATTACAATTATTCTTTAATCAATTGATTCAATTGATTTAAATACTTGAGAGCAGCCTAAATAGAAATCAGCAGGAATTATTGAATTTGATTGGTTGATCATTAGACAATATCTATATCTGTATTTTGTCTTGGACATGAACATAAATATTCAATCTATATCTAGTTGCATTTAGTCTATGTTCATATAACAACACTATACTAGGATGTATTTCTGAAAAATTTGCTAGTATTTGTATTACTTAAGAAAACTCTAGAATTACAAAGGAATACAAACCAGTTTAGAGCAGTGCAAATACTTGATAAGTTCAAGATTGACAATAAATCTCAGAGATTATTTTAAATACAGGAAACCTGCTTGGAAAAACCTGAATTGAAAGTAGTGGCAAAACCTTTAACAGTATTATGGAATTGAAAACTATATTAGAAACTCAACTAGAGGTTCAATGATCATGATCTTTATAAGTTTGGAGTAACACCAACTGGTCACCAGAGTTATACCAAAGAAAAAAAATATGTGTTTCAAAAGCATGTACTATACTATATGATATTTAAAACCTAGACAGACCAACTCTTTTGGGCTAACTGGATTAAAAGAAATGATGTTTTTGGAGCCAGACCCATGTATTGGATAAAAAGTTAGTATTGGGCTAGCTGTGAACTCAGTAAAAGCAAGAGATATGTAGAGTATGTAGAGTAAGGCCCAAGTACTAGTATTTCTTAAGATCTGATCCAGAATCCAGATTTAATCTGGATCCACTTGACAGATCTGAGTTAGATTCACAATTTTTAAAATTTGTCAAATTTGAATCCACATAGAGATCTGATCTATTATATATAAAGATGTCAAGTCTAAACTGGATCCAAAGATCCATCTATTCAAACATGGATCTATACTTGGACCTAATCCGAATTTTTCAGATCAAATCTGGATCCTTGAAAATATCCATCTAATCCGATTAGTGTAGAACACTACCAAGTACCAAGTTAGGCTATAGTATAATAGTTAGGGCACTATATTTCTGAACCTAATTCAGTAGTAATATGGGACACAAAACAAACTAGGGCAGTTTTACTACACCACCAAGGATGCCTATTAGACTTAGTTCCTATTTGGGTATGCTATAAAAAATGGTAAAAGATAGTGGGAAATTGCCAATCTGGGTGGTCCCCTATTTGGAGGTGTAGCACAAGGTAGATAATGGATATAACTAAAGGAGGTAATACAGGATTAAGATGTACTTGTACTGAATTATGAATGTAAATTTACCAAATTCCTAATAAAGTTCGCCGTGTCATGGCAGTTTATTAAGTAAAAAAAAAAATATTAAATAAAAGTATACTCTTATATACATGTTGAATAATTAGAGCAACAACAATTAAAACTGTTTTTGCTGTGCCTAAAGTTAACACTTGCCTGAAGTTGCAACTTCAGGTACCTGAAGCTACACTTGAGCTAATGCGTGCAAGATAATCTAATTTCAGATCCCAATAATTAGTGCTCAGCAAAATCAAACAAAAATTTTTCATGTTTTTGAATCTATCAATTTATAGTATTATGCTTTAATTACAAAATTTATTTTTACTCTAATCTGACTTTAAATTTCATGATAATTACCACGAAGTCTAAAATAAGATCGGATGCCTATTAGATTTATAAATAAAATTTGTATTTAATGCTCAATATTGTAAATTGATAGATTCAAAAACTTGAAAATCAAGTTTATGTTTGATTTGCCGTGCACTATCACTTAATTTGTTACGGGGAATTCATAACAGCAGAATTTGCTTCGGATCCTTATCAGATTCTGATTTCTTAATATATATAGTTATACTAGAAATATGCTAGAGACTCACTCTCATTTTTTACTAATTGTTTTCTTTTTACTAATTGGTCTTGAATAGAAGATTACCTATTCCCATAGGTGCAAAAGCTTCAGGTATTTTGTGCACTAGCCTAGCAAACCTTTATGCTTATATGCACAAGACACCCAACTCGTGTTTAACATTTTATGCCTATGCCTACAAAATTGCATAGCAATTTTAGATATGCGTCCGTGCTCATGCCTGTGCCTTTTGTTAGACATGGACATGTGTCGGTCCAGCAAATCCCTAATTACCATATAAAAAGATCGAAGGTAGCTAGAAATTTTAAGTTAGGGTAAGTGTCCAGGTTGAGAATAGATTAGAGTGAGCTATATACAGTCAGACTTTGTTATAGTCACTTTTGATATAGTCACAACCTTGATATAATCATTATTTTTAACTCGAAATATATAAAATTTGACTTTTATATAGTCACAACATTTTATAATCACCAGATTCTTGTTTCCCAAGCTAGTTGGTGATTATATCGAGATTTGACTGTAGGTAAAATTGCTTCCCTTAATGCTCCAAGATAGGTTTAGTTTGTTGTTACTAATTTTTAAATTAGATAGTCGTAAAGGTTTGTTTAATTTTTGTAGCATGTTTGAATCTGTCTATCGAAGATAAAAATTTGAGTTTAGTTTATTAGTAGTAAGACTACTTTTACCGCTATTTATTCTTTAGATATATAAAATTTTTTACGTATTCACAAGTTCGCATGAGATTTTTTTTATTTTTTTATGAAGCTTTCGTTAAAATAATTAAATAATTAAAACGTATTAGTTTAATACATAAGTTAAATTGAATAAGTTTCCTCAATAAAAACTACCACCTTTATTATATCAATCATTTATTAGCTTTAGAGAAAAGCCTGGCTCAAGTCGACATAAAAGTATATAAATCGATATTATTATAAATTGTCAACCAATCAGATGTCTTATGATTTTTCATTGATAAATAATACTTGATACGAACAATAATCTAAAACAAAACTAGCCAATCAGACTTATTTGCACCTGTAAACGTTAAAAACTTTCTTAAACTAGAAATAACGATAACTGATTTAAGAGTATAAAAATTAATTTAAAGTAACGTTAATTCCCGGTTAATTCCCGGTACTAACGAGTTTTAAACTTGATACCGGGTAATTTAAGAGCCGTTTAATCCGAACGCTTTGAGAACAAGGAAAATTTTTAATAAAGCTAGTACATAGCCGACTATTTGGTCCTGCGTAATTATGTATTGTCGTTATTAATTCGTTCATATCAATATATATATAATATATACCAGATTTACATTGATGGCCATTTCACATCAAAAAGGGTATTTCCCAACATGTAAAGTAAAAACGCCATTTTAAGAAATTGATTTATTTAAATATATTTGCATATTTAGCAACAGTTAAAATCCGAGCAAATTTACTTTTCGCAGAGAATTTCATGTTCAAAATTGAGATGTCGATATCTGATATGTACGTGCGTGCGTACGTACTTGCGTCTGTACGTACGTACTATATATGATAGCTTGTGAAAATCCTTTATTAACAAAATTAATAAACAAATCCTCAAACCAATAGAAGTAGTTATTGTAAAATACATCATAACTGTAACAGTTTATGCATTTTTGTACGCACTTACTGAAATTACCAGAATATATTTTAGAACTTTCATTCATATAAAAAAAAAAACAGATGCGATTACTCTTATTTATAATGCATAGCGTTTGGTGCAGATAAATGCAATACTTATGTTGAATATTACTGTGATTTAAGTCCTTAAGAGGAGATAAACCATCCTTCATTAAAATAAGTCTACGAAACTTTTTTTCTAAATAAATTTACGGAATACTTTTTCTGAAGAAGATGAATCTATTTGATGTTCCAATTTTCTTTATTGTATTTCGAGAAACTCTAGAATGTACGGTGATAATGTCCCTATTATTTGGAATAATAGATAGAGTTATTCCACCAGAACATGAAGACATTCCATCATTAAATCAAGAAATAACTACAAGTGCTCTCATATCTTCAGAAGAAAGTCGATATAGAAGATTATTGCGACACCTACGCAGATTTCAGCAGAGAGAAAATACATCGAGTCAAGAATTACGTGGAAAACTGAAAAGAATAGTTTTGTATGGTACCATTGCTGGAGTTGTGGTTTCATTGATCCTTGGTATTTTGTTTGTCGGTGTTCTTTATGTCGTCATAAAGGATTCGCAGAATGGGTTGGTTTTATCTTTGCTCATTCAAACATTACCGTATAAACCAAATACTAACAGTAATAACATTATTTTCAGAAATAGTCAAGCTTTATGGGGTGCATAATTTTATTTATTTTTTTCTATAATCTCTTATAATACAGTAAATTAATCAATTATCTTAATGATAAATTAGAGGCATTTTTTTCGTTGCTTGCCACAGTATTAATTACATTAATCGCATGGTATATGATTCGAGTCACTTCTTGGAGAGATAAATTAGAAGATCGATTAAAAAAAGACTACATTAACTTATTTAGAAAGATACGCCGGGGGGAATAAGTGGTTTCTGTTTTTTTTACCACTTACCATTGTTATGCGTGAAGCTTTAGAATCATTTATATTTATTTCTGGGGTAATGTATCTCCTAATATTGTTTATTCGCTTCTAATTCATATATAAATACTAACTCTATTATTCTATTTTGATTGAAGTCTTTCGATCAAAATTATTTATCTCTCTTGATATCAGTATCAATTGGTGCCGTATTTGGTTTTTCAGGAGGTTATCTAATATATAAATGTTCTAACCTTATTTCTTTTCGTGCTTTTGCCGTGACCTGTACTATAATAGTTTTTTTCGTTGGCGCTGGATTATTTGGGACTTCAATTGCTGATTTTGAAACGGTCACAAATTCTGATCAAATTTATTTATGGAATTTAGATTGTTGCGATCCGGAAACTAACGGCGGGTGGGAAATAATGAGTAGTACATTTGGTTGGACCAATAAAGCCAGTTTGGGTCAGGTTATTGGATACGTACTTTATTGGGTTGTGGTTTTAGTTAGAACTTTCATTATTTTGAGGAAAAGAAATGCGACTGATTTGACTGAAACTAACGAAGCAAATAATAACTGACAATGTAAAATAGTCTGTTAAGCCATTTACGTGTTTATTTGTTGTTAATATTGTAATTCAGTAATTCATCTTGTACCAGCAATTGTAATATTTATGCATCAGAATAAGTCACGATCTTTTTTTTTTAATGCAGTATATTGAGAATTTTTTTTTTTTTTTATGTTGCGCTCTAGTTGGAGCGTTTATTTAAATTAATGTAAGCTTATGAAATAAAAAATAAATGCTAATTTAGAGATTGTATCCGTCAAGAAAATCTCTACCCGGGTACAATCTTTATGCTAATTAGGCAATAAGGCATTTTACCGAGTCATTATTCCTCAAAGTAAGTTGTAAGACGAAGAGTTATAATTCATGTCATAAGCACAATACAGTATAAAACTTTTTTTAGTATAATTATCATTATGCTAATTGATTGATTAACGAAAATTTTTGGGAGGCCATAAGTGTTAAATAACTTCAATAACGCGTTTATTTTTAATTGGTTAAATTTCGTCGATCAAATTTTGTTTATAAATGTATGCGATTTTTTTTTTCCTTACCGATATAAGAAATGGTTGAAAAATATGGAAAATCTCGCTTAGGTCGTACATTCAGAAAACGGTTGAATCGGCAAAACAGACTCGATATGCCTTCAGGTTTAAAAATTATCATATATCCTTCTATAATAAATATTCTTATTCATCAATTGCGTCTTATTTTTCTTTATAGTAATTAAAGATGTAGAATGGATAATTTTCCGAGATTGGTTAAAGCAAAAGGGATTTTCAAAGACAAAATTGACTTTGGCTGAATTTAATGGTAATCTTATAACATAAGAATGAATAATTGTACTTACTGTGGTTGATTACCTAAACTTCACTACAGATACTGGGAGAGGCATGATGGCGACCAAGGACATTGTTGTTAAGTTTCTTTTCTTATTTCTTCCGTAAAAAACGTATTATATTTAAAATTAAAAATTCCTTTGATCTCATCGTTTATCAGGTTGGAGAAATACTAATTTCTGTTCCTTTGAGATTACTTATTACACCTAAATCCTTATCTAACACAATGCAAAGTAATCACATTTCATGGTATTATATAATTATTTTTCATATATTAATCAATTTTTTATTATTTTTTAAATTACAACTTCTGTAACATATATGATTAATACAGTATTTGAAAAAAAAGCAGTATAACAGATTCAAAGCTTACTGCACATCAATCCCTAGCACTTTACCTAATTTTAGAACGGCGCAAAAATACTAAAAGTTCCGTTTACCATTATATCCAAATGTTACCAAAGAATTTTGACACAATGCCAATATGTTTTGAATTAGAATTGTTAGAATTTTTGCCCAATAACGTGAAAGGTAATAATATATATAAGTTTTTATAAATTTGTGTGAATAAGCATGAAATATAAAGATATTTATAATTATCGTCAATTATTGCTGTATAAAAGAGGACGTTAAATCTCAAAAATTAAAGTTTGAAGAGGATTTTAGATCTGTTTGTAGATTTTTAAAAGTATGTTTTTAAATTCAAACTACTGATTCTTAAATTATTCAAGTTTTTTGTAAATATATAATTTAATACAGTATATGTATGTTGTTTAACAGAAACAATTAAACTTTAATATCAATATTACATATAATGAATTTTTATGGAGTTGGCTTTGTGGTATTTACTTGATTATACAATATATTTTATTTTATATTTAAAAAAATCAAGAAATATAAATATATTATATATTGATTGATTAATTCATTTGTTTAGTAAATACTAGGTGTATTTATTTTGAACCTTTTAAATCTATAAACTGTGATGTTAGAGAAAATATCGCTATTGCTCCAATGTTAGATTTTCTAAATCATAATTTTAATGCAAAGGTATTTATTTGTTCGTACCATAAAAATGCTAAGAAAACATGAATAAAGTAAATAAAATTATATATTTTTTTTTCTAAAGACAAAAGGTGAATTTAACAAAGTGACTCAATGTTATGAGATTACAACTTTCACACCTTGGAAAAAGGGACAACAAGTATTTAATATTCTATATTTATTTAAAATTCAAGTTAATCCTTTTAAAAATTAATAATATATACTGAATATCGAAAAAAGGTATTCATAAACTATGGTCCGCATGATAATTTTAAATTATTACTTGACTACGGATTCACTATTCCAAATAATCCCTTTAATTACATTTTACTTGATGATGAATTTTTTAAATTTAATATTAAAGAAGAAGCTGAAAATATTGTATCTAAAAAATCAAGTTTATTGATGAAAAATGGATTTTATGGGTATGTAAATTAATTTTCATTTCACTACATAGAATTTGCGTTTTAGTGTTCGTATTTCATCTTAAGAATTGGAACCCGTTGAGAAATCTCTACCCGATATTATTAGATAATCTGGATTACCTGAGTAAAGTATTATGCACTTCGGGTACTCAACAAATTTCTACACGGATTCAAAATCCTACACCTATGAATGGGAATTATATAATATTTTTCTATCCTTATATACCAATGTCTGGCTTGAATTAGATATATATAATTTTATATGCCTGATTTGTCCAGTTGACAACTCTGATATATAAACTACCAAGTATTCGTTCAAACACTCTCAAACCACCAAATCCATCCTGATCGACTCTAATAAATATATATTTTTTTACTTCAAAAAAAAAGGGATTACGTTTTACATACATCTCAGATCTCATTTCGTCTCCTGACGGCCTTGCGACTTCGTTTTCTTCGCCCGCTTAATAACATATCGTCACAAGAAACACAGCATCTAATAACAAAATGGCAGAATACCATATCTGGAAAGTATGAAATTTTAAGTTATGAAAATGAAATTGAAGTTTATGAATGGATCGATTCAGTCTGTAAAGAATTGATAAGGAAATGTGATTTTATGCTGGAAAAGGTGGTGAGTGTTTTTCTCATAGATGATTTTTGGAATGTACTAGCCCTTTGAATACTTTTAAATTTTTTCCTACTCTTTTATAAATAGAATAGCATACCATCTAGTTCTCTGGAAAATCTTAAACTTCTTTGGAATGAATCAAAAAACATATTGACTTCCATAATCATTCTCATACAAGATTCAAAAAATATGTAACTTTATAAATTCTGCAATGATTCCTCTATATGATTCTGTATAAATAGAGAGAGTATGATAATGTATCCTCGATAAAATAAATAAAAAAAATTAACATTTTAATCCTTTATGTCATTCAGTTTCTATCTTTTAATACAATGTCATTTAAGTACAAACTTATTATATCACAGCCGAATGAACTAATGCTACAGCACATTCATTAGTAATTTCAACGTAAATCAATAACTTCAAGGGCCATTTTTTTCATCACAATATGGCCATTCTCTGTGATATCCTATTAATGGTCATTTCGAAAATATTATAAATAAAAAAATCCTGCAATTATTGCGAACAAACTGTATCAACTTACTTTTTCAATAGGTGCGTCACACTCATGGGGATGAAAACCTCTTAAAGTACACTCAAGCACTTTTTGTAATCCCGGCGGATTTGTGAGACGAAATATACCAAAGCTAAATAATTTAAAGAAAACCATTAAATCTCCTGACTTTGACCAGTATTGCGACTAAACTGCTTTTCAAAATTTGAAACGTTTCGGTTTAGCACTTAACATTATATAATAGTATATCACAGACTAAACTACTCTTCAAAGCCTTTTCAGTTTAATTCGCAACACTAATTTGAAAAGAACAAAGATTTTAATAAATTGTTTAACTAACTTTGGGTATTTCTTTGGAGCGCATACAATAGCTATTGCTTCAGGAGAAATGACCTGAAATGAAGAATGTGTATGTAGATCCATCGAACTCATGAAGCAAGTCTGTGTTGGATGTGTCTGAAAAAAATAACGATTAGGACCCGAAACATAGATAATAAAAAAAGATTAATCATGCAATGGTTATTACATGTATCCAACCAAGTATCATCAATCCTTTCTCTTCATATTCAATAAGATCCTCTTCATTAGTTACTTCGCAAGTATCAGATGTTGCAGTTTGTTTCGGAATTATTAACGTTGTGACATAGAAGACATTATGCGACTTAAAAATTTACACTATTAAATTCATGATTTACAAAAAATAAAGAAATAACTAAACTAAAGTAATATAATTTACCAAACTACCAAACAAAATTCCACACGTTTCTAAATTCCTTTCTGTATTTTTGGAAGCGACTTTAATAAATGTATTATAGATATTATCAGGAAGATATACTCTTCGAAGACCCTCTCCGCCCTCAGTATATGCTTGATACTCTAAATACATAATCTTTTTAGAAATGTATGTTGCAATATTAATTATAAACCAAAAAGACTGACTATGTGTACCTGGTAACAAATCGTAATCCTTATTGACTTTAGGATGTTCGTAATTAACATATTTATTTAATTCTTCAGTACTATATCCATTCGGTTTTGGCGGTAACTTAGGAGCCTCGTTCCTCACTTTTGGAGGTAATGCTGGAGGTGTTATATGTCGGGATGATATTGGAGATGGCATTATTGAAGACGGTATTTGACGAGATAATACTTGCGGTGGCATTTGGGGCGGCAATGCTGGAGCTTCATAAGATTTCAATGCCGCTGATGATACTACACGCGGCTTATGTGCAGAATATTGATATCTATTATGTTACAATCAAACCATATAAATAAATTTAATTAGGTGAAAAATGAATAAAAAAAATCCAGCTTATACCCATCACTTTGATTTCTTTCTGAAACATTGGGGTAATGAACCTATCAATTCATTCAGATTAACCAAAATAAATTCATGCAGAATGTATTGTCAAAAATTTAAATATAAAGTACCTTTTGTTGCGATTGTTCTTCTGGTTCACTTTAATATAAGATGTCAAATTACAAAGGAATTATCGTAGAAACACTAATTTAATATATTTAATATCATTAAGCATACGTTATTTCGGAAGATGTCGAATATAAATGGATATCTTTAAGCTGTTCCACCAGATCCAATGACGATTCCGAAACTTGACTTTGATACCCCTGACTTGGATAACTTCTTTGATAATCATTTTGGTTGCTATATTCCCTGTTTTGATCATTTTCATCGTTATGATAGTCATTATTATATTCTTGAGTTTGATCTTTCTGATCCTCCTTAGATACATCATCTGTTACTAATTCTTTTCCTGCAGAACGTCGAAAGCGTTCTTCAATAATAGGTTTGAGCTTTTCAATTTCATCGAGAACAATCTTTGAATTCTAGACAAAAATTCAATATATGGCATGAATTTTTTTAATTGAATCAGATAAAATTGAACATAATTCGATTCTCATTTAATACTTTGGCAAGCTCTACTTTCCCAGCCTTGTGTTCGGGCTTCTTATATTCTGGGTGAAGAGGTAACTTTTCGAGCGTCAACCTATGTATTTTTTATTTGAATATCTTTGAGCATTTGTACGCACTTCTATAAGCTAAGTTAATTTGAATTAGTTACGTTGCGTATCTCACATAAAATTTAAATGCGTTGATTAAGTCCTTTTCTTCTCTATATCGATTCGCCTACAAAAAAAGATAATTTTGTTAAATGATAAACAATGTAATAAACCGTATCGTTAAAAAATACCTGTCTTAACAAAGCATTTGCCGAACGGAAATAGGTTTTTAGTGCGGCTCCAGGTATATATTTTATATCTGAAGCTTCCTTTACAAGTTTTTGCATTTCCGGTATTTCCGCCATGATTATGATAGCACTATTATTTCCAAAGAAACCAAGCTGAAACAATTTATACTTTGATCCTGATCACGTGATATTCCTGCACGATTTCGGACGGTTACACCAACTTGTCCTGACAACGTACGTACGTACGTACGTGTCAGGGACCCGCAAAAATTTGGATATCAAATTGCAAAAATTTATTGGGGTATTAGCTAATATTTGGATAAAATTTGGGTAAAAAATTTAAATATTTGTAATCATTTGGAATATAAATTATTAAAAAAATTCAGTATTTATCAATCAAATAATGATTATTGTGTAACAGAATACTGTATCTTAAAATTTATTATTATTTTTGCTGATTGAAATAAAGCATGTTTAACATTTTTAAAGAATCCTCGCTTAAATTTTGCCTATCATCTTCTAAAACATTATTGTAGACAGAAAAACTTCTTTCTACAGCACAAGAAGAAATAGGCAACCAAATGTAAATTAAAGCTATCTTATTTAAAAGTGAAAGCGAAAAAGACATTTTGTCCCAAAATTCGCCTAAGTTATCAAAATCAATTAAAGCTAAATCTAAATTACAGTAAATAGCCCATTCTTGTAATAAGGTGTTAGAAGGGTTTTTCAATTCAGGAATTTGATTTGAATGATTTTGAATATTACGATTTACAATAGCTAGTTTTACAAATCGGGAGTCAAAAATTTGTATAGCAACGAAAAGAGAATGAGAAGGGTGGTATAAAAAATGAGTATTAAACTTCGTATATGCAGCTGCAAAAGCCATTTGAAATACGTTGTTAAAGAGGTTTGGGTCTGATCCAAGATTCACAATACATTGATTAACTTTATTTCCAAAATCGGTATTCGATTCTCCACTTTTTAAAAAAATTTCAAGCTGCTGGATTCGATCTTCAACGTAAGGGATTACAGGCTCATTCTCCTTTTGAAAAAAGTTAAGATCGGAAATAAACCTTTCATCATAATGCTGAATAAATGTCAAATAAATTCGTACTCGCCCATTCTCTTCACCATTATTAAAAACATCAACAATTTTTTTTATTGTTTCTGATGGTTCAACTTGAAGTTCCTCATTATAAAACTCTATAATATAATCCAAGTAATCATGAACGTAAAATGTCATTCTAAACCACGTATTCCAACAGGTTGCAACTGGCAATAGTATAAACTTTAGTAAGAGATTTGTTTGTTGATCTAATCCACGCCGCATTAGGCAATTCATATAGCAGGATCGACGAACTTTAGAGTGTGTAAACGTTTTTTTTATATTGGAAATTAAAACTTTAACAGCATCGAAGTGATAAATTGATAATCACGATTCACTAGAATAATAAAATATGATTTTATTAACATAAATATAAAAAACAATATCATATAATTTTATGATATTACCCAATCAAATTTACAATATGAGCTGAACATGTATTATGTTTTAATTGTTGCATAATAGGATTTAAAGCTTCATGAAAACATTTCTTCATATATGAAGCGGAATCAGTAACAATTAATTTTGGAAGTGTAAAAGAAATATCCTATTCAGTTAAAAGCCACAAAACAAGTCCACCTATAGTCGAATAGTTTACATGCTGCAAATAGTCAACTGATACAAGTTTAGTTATTCTCTATATGAAAACAACGTGTTGACTATACTGCGTCCTCTAATATCTGTTGTTTTATCGATTATAATAGCTACTGGTTTGTTACTAAATATTTCTTGTAAACTTTTCAAATGTTCATTAAAAACCTTTGGCAAGTATAAGCGACGCAAAGTATCAGCAGTAGGTATAGCACCACCCTCCTTACAATACATATTTAAAAAACCACGAAACTTATCAAGCTTTTCTAGTGGTATGTCAGCCTCAACCCATGCTGTGACAAGATCACAAATAACTTCTCTTTTTTTATCTACCACAGTTAAAGATGATAGAGATGATAGAAGGCATTGTTGCCGGGTTTTATTTGTAGAATTCAAGTAAGCTTCATGTTTATTTTTATAAACCTTGCTATTTATATGTCCAGTAACAAAAGCTTTATTCTGGTAATTAACACTGTGGTTGCAAAAACGGCACATGAGTTTTCCGGAATTCAAGACAAAGTCTTCTGAAAACTCTTAGGCATGGCTATAAGCAGTGACTTTTTTGGTTTGTCCCATTGTCTTTACAGTTTTTTTTTTTTTTTTTTTGTTTTATTTAGTTGTGATCAAAACCTTTTTTCGCACCTTTGGTGCATAGAACAAGAATTACCTTGAATATTCAAAGAAATTCATACTTAAAATCAAATAATTTATATATCGTACTGACAATGCATTTCTATTGGCCAAATTACATGTATCCTAAAATCGACCAAAATTTTTGGCTAAAATTTGGATTAATTTGGGTTAAATACAAAAATTTGGAAATCATAAAATTAGGCGTAAAAATTTGGAAAAATTTGGAAATTTTTGGATCCAAATTTTTACGGGTCCCTGGTCAGTATATCATCATACACAGTGTTGTCACTCAGACCAGACTCAGACTTGGACTTGGATGGATTCGATCAGACTCGGACTCAGACAATTAAATTTGTCCGCCAGATGAATCTAATCAAACAACCAATTATATTTCTGTATAACTAATCATTATAAAATCAATAAATTAATTGTTTATATAGTAGCTACGTGATATTGTCATGCTAAACCAGAATGTAAGCTTAATTAGAAAATGTTGAATATATGCTGATAATTTTGAATTAGATAATTAAATATCGGATATATAACTAAATACAGCATAACTACAGTAAGACCTCCATAAGTGTACCCCCTTGGGACCATAGTAAAAAAAAAGCAAAATGTGCACTTAAAAAGAGTATGCATTTATAAAGAACAAAATATATAGTGCTTTTATAAGTTGGGGCCAAGCTATGCTATGCATTTAGAGAGAATTTATATAGGGCATGCACTTATAAAGGTCTTACTATATATTAATATGAGATGCTAAAATTTAAACAAACAAGAAATTTCATAAGATTTGAAAATTTATTTAATATAAAGTGTAAATATCTTGTTAAAAAACAAATCATACCAATTTACTATAATTTTCTAATGCTAACTATAATAATACATAACACAAGAACAGATATTAAAAATAAAGGTATTTCACACCCCATACTGCCAGATCTGGTTATACTAATCTGTATATTTTTGTAGATGATAATTATACAGACTAATGTGGAAAGAAGCTAAATAAGACGTGAACAGCTTATAAATACTTAGAGACCAATTAGACCAATAAATAAGCACTAAAATTAGAGATTAATAGTGCTTTCATTATAATTAGTTAGCTACTAAGATATGCATAAGTATTGCGATTAATTGAAGCATAATGCAAATGCAAATAAATTTATACAATCAAAACAAGTCTATGACAAAAAAAAAGTAATTCTCAACCCTTTTTTTTATCGTGATATTGAACCTACTTACCAGTTTAACTACTTTCTACAAATTAAGAATTGAACACCGATCAATTAATTTATGTACTTGAGAGAACCTTAAATTAATATGAATATATGAATAAAAATTTAAATGAGAAATTATTTAATATAGTGATTGATAATACTCGAATGATTAAATAAGAAAAAGTTCTAAAGATACTTAATTTAAATATCATATGAAAACCTGACATTACATGATGAAGAGTTTTGTAGACCAATTTCAGCATATTAAAGATTTTTAAAGCTGTTAATGCTCATATGGCTTCTTTAAATACTATATTTGCTTTAAATTTCATCAGTATTACCTAAGAAATAGGAAAAAGAAGACTTACAACTGTATATCCTGCATGCTGATAGAATTAATAATAGTAGTGGGATGTTGCACTAAAGTGATTTGTGATTCAAATAAAAATGAGCAGGAATTTATTCAGAAATTGAAAAACTTCTATGAAATTGGTTACAAAAATCATTTGTTCTTTGAACTGTTCAAGAGTATTAAGAAATGAATATAGTGATTATATTAGTGTTATGCAGGTTGCAGCAAAAGGTTCATTACAAAAAATCTTATAAAAGTATCACTGTGGAACTTGAGTCGATTCAAAATATTTTGCAAACTTTTGCTTTGCATGACACGTATATAATTGATTTTGGACTTTTTAGAAATTTTACTGTATACATGTAGCACCTGAAGTTTTGGTAAGTTAACTGTATATTCAAAGCATCATATATTTACAGTTTTGGCGACATTATGTATAAATAGTAAACATCATAAGCAGGTTTCGCTTAGATATGTCTGAAAATGTCTGAGTTCGAGTATGTCTGAGTTTGAGATAATTCACTCAGACATTGTCCGACTGACAATATATTAACTTGAATATAATTTGAACTCAGACATCGTACAATATCTGAAAATGTCTAGTCCGATATAAATTGTTCAGATATCAAAAAATGTACAATACTGGTCGTACATACGTACGTATATATGATATGTGTGTTTGATAAGACCTTATATAAAAATATGTAACAGGTAATAATTATGTAGTATGTTAATACTATATAACAGAGATAAAATGGTTCATCCACATATACTTTAAAATTGCAGATTATACAGGATTTACTCTTATTCACTAGTTATATTCTGTTTTTTTAACTATTGTTAGAGTTTAACTTTGATTAAAATATTTTCGACATTTGGTCAGGACAGTATAAATTTTTCTTTATTTATAATATATATTGTAATAACGTATAAAATCGTATTTTAAATGAAAAAAAGAGAAAGCTAAAAAAATATTTAAGCATCTATTACTCAATATTATCTTCCATTTCAACATTAAGCCAACTTTTTACACAAAGACTAGCTCTTGCAGTTTTCAGATAAAGCCGATTTCGAGTTTTTAAGATCATATAATCTGCTAAAGAAAAAGCCTGCTTATAAGCAATACTCGTTGCTTGTATAGAAAGGTAATCATAAGCAATTAGCGAAATTACAGGATAATCTTTTTTATAAACTTTTCACCAGAGCAGAGGTT